TGTATAACCTGCGTTTATGTTTCTTATAAAACGTATTTGCAATGAATAAGTCATTGGTTGTACAAAATTCAATCATTCTATCTCCAGCTTCATTTCTGTCACCAGGCCTGATAGGGATACGTAAATTAAAAATTTGCTATCTAAAATGGGAAGATTAAGACATGAGCGATGAAGCTGCTGGCTTGCATGCTTTCATGAATACAATTCTTATTAGGATTGTAATAGAAATGTTAGCCCATCAAATATGAAGATTAATGACCGGAAAATCCAGATAGTGGGCTGTGGCACCAAAGGTTTACTGTTTAAAATGTTTTTCCTAGCCATTTACGAAGCGTTTCTTTTCTGCTGAAGTATTTACTGTATAAAGGAGATAGGATTAGGGTGGGATACATGCCCCACCCCACTAGAGGCATATATAAGCCCATGAGAGCTCTCTTTTTGACATGTCTGCTTTCCAGGTGCACTGCAACTGATAGTCTAAAATACTCACCAGCCTCTCCAAAACTGGCCTGCATACCTACAGTGGCATTAGTCATTCCCCTGATAGATCTGAGTCTCTGGAAAACCTTCTAGGAAACTATCAAACCCAAAGGAGTGAGGGAACGGAACAAAGAAGGGATTGTTGATGTCAGAAATCATAGAAATATACAGCAAATCAAACATTTAGGATACTATTGACTATGCACTTCCTGTAATTTGTCTACTACTAATCTTAGCAGAAAGAATTATGACTATAGTATCAAAGCTATTTAAGTACAGCAACAGACATATACTAAGAAGAGGAGGGGAAAGGCAATATACAGGAAGGGGATCATTCATCAGCACACTACCACTAAAGAAAGGGAAGAGGTACACAAGAAATCTAATCATCAGCAGATGTATAATCAGACAGGTAAGATGAACATATATGGATAGTGAAAAGAACTACACACATGATCATACATGGATCTGGCAGATGATATTTCTACATTCACTACTATATGTGGTAAACACGTCCATTTATGTAGCAAAGCCAACAGTGGACAATAGTAAGCTTCTTAATCATAACCAAATACCTTCAGCTGCTGGTTATAGAGCCTTGGGAACATTGGTCTTAGGGAACATCAGGTCAATTGGCATAATGTTTTCCACAAAGACTATTTTCTACATCCTACTCTGGTGAGCAGTGATGAGAAAAAGGTGGTAAGCAGCCACTTAAGGTGTAATTATTGATTCTCCCTGTCTTGAACAAAGAAAAGAGAAGAAAAGCAAAGATATACTGAAACAATCAGTCCAAAGGACTGATTGGAGTATACGAACCTCAACTTCCGTGACCCCGAGACTAGAGGAACTAGACAGTATTTAACTACTACTGCTGACCACTCTGAAAGGGATTAAAGTAGAAAATCCTGAATAGAACGGGTGAAAATGTGGAACAAAACTCAAAACATAAAAATGACCAGGCTTACTTAAAAAAAAAAAATACCAGGCTTACTGATCTGATAGGGGGTGATGGAACTCATGAGACTATGACTGTTAACCACTCTTCTAACCTGAAACAAAACTCATACCCATGGATCAACTTTCAGCAAAACTACAGATAAGTCTATAAGGTAGGCCATCACTCTTTAGAATAACCAACCACATAAGATCACATGAACTGCTTTTGCTTATGATAAACCCTAAAGGCAGGAAGAGATAGGATAGGATAGGATAGGATAGGATAGGATAGGATAGGATAGGATAGGATAGGATAGGATAGGATAGGATAGGATTAATGGAAATGACAATTACTGGTAGGAGTTGGGAAAGTAGATATTATTCTTCTAAAATAAAATGTGTATATTTGAATGAATAGCTGAATGAAAAACTAATGGACTTTGTAAACTTTTTTTAAAAATTATTATTTTAGTACTCTAATTGGTTTGCTTACAAAGTTCATATATATTGCATTTCACACCAGTTTTCATTCACATTGTGTTTCATACAATAAATTTCATGCATTGTTGTTGTTGTTATGTGCTGTTGAGTTGCCAGCAACTCATAGCGACCCTATGTACAACAGCTCTGAAGCCTACCCTGTCCTAAGCCAGCCTTACTCTGACACACCGACAGCACATTACCCTAGTTACTGTATCAATCCATGTCATCTAGGATCTTCCTCTCCTGCACTGTCCCTCCACCCTTTCGAGCATGATGTCCTTCTCCAAGGATCCTCCTGGCCACTGCCCAAAGTATAAAAGATGGAGCTTCAAAATCCTAGCCGCCAAGGAGAAACTTGGATTCACTTTCTCCAAGACAGACCTATTTGTTTTCTTGGTGGTCCATGGTATGTTCAAGACTCTTCAGTATCACAACTCAAAGGCATCAATTCTTCTATCATAAGGATGACTAAGGAGTCGTCCAGCTCTCTGATGGATAGCAAGTAATTGCGAAGACCATAGACTGGATTAGGCACACCTTAGTCTCTAGACTAACATGGTTGCTTCTCAGTTCTCTGGAAAGGTCCCTGACAGCAGATTTACCTAATGCAATTAATCTTTTGATTTCCTGACTGCTGGTGCCCAGAGTGTTGATTGTAAGCTGCAACTGCTGGAGCCGAGCAAGCTGTAACCGTTAACAACCTCAATCTTGTCTCCATCCATCATGGTACTGCCAAATGGCCCAGTGGTGAGAATCTTTGTCTTCCTGATATTGAAGACTACAGTCCTTGATCTTCTGCAGCAAAAGCTTGAGGTCCATCTCAGTTTCAGCAAGCAAGGTTGTGTCATGTGCATAAAGTAGCCTGTTGAGTTTTCCTCCAATCCTGATGCCACATTCCTCCTCATAAAGCCGAGCCTCCCAAATGATCTGTTCTGTGTATAGATTGAAAAGTATGGAGACAGGATGAATCCCTGATGCACTCCCTTCCTGATTTTGAACCATGCTCTGTTCTGATGACTGCTTTCTGGCCCAAGTATAGGTTTTGCATAAGCACAATCAAATATTCTGGGATTCCCATTCTCCTCAAGGTTAACCACAATTTGTTGTGATCCACACAGCCTTTGCATAGTCAATGAAACACATAGATAATCCTCTGGTACTCTTTGCTTTCTGGCAAGATTCATCTGACATTGGCAATTATATCTCTAGTGCCATGGCCTCTTCTAAACCCAGCTTGTATTTCTGTTAGTTCTCTGTCAATGTACTGCTCCAGTCACTTCTGGATAATCTTCAGCAGGATTTTGTTTGTGATATGAGTGATATTGTATGATAATTTCCACACTCTTGTTAGGTCACTTTTTGGAGGAATAGGAATTTAGATATCTTCCAGTCCGTTGGCCAGGTAGTTGTCCTCCAGATTTCTTGGCACAAATTGGTGGAGCACATCCAGGTCAGCATGGTTTGTTGAAATCCAGTTGCTATTCCATCAATTCCTGGGGCTTTATTTTTTTTTGCCGAGTCCTTCAGAGCAGCCTGAACTTCCTCCTTTGTCACCATTGCCTCTTGATCATATTTTGTTTCTTGAAATTCTTCTGTCAGCCAATTCTTTTTGATACAATGATTCTGTAATATTCTTTCTATCTTCTTTTTAACACTTCCTGGATCATTCAATATTCTACCCATAGCATCCTTAAGTATTGCAACTTGAGGCTTGAGATTGTTCTTTAGTTCCTTCAACTTAAGAAATGCTGAGCGAGTATGGTCCTTTTGATTTTCAGACTCCAGTTCTTTGCACATTTCATTATAATACTTTGTTTTGTCTTCTTCTCATCCTGCTTTTTGAAATCTTCTTTTCAACTCCTCAACTTCTTGATTTCTTCCCGTTGCTTTGGCTGCTCAAAGCGCTAGTGCAATATTCAGAGTCTCTTCTGACATCCATTTTGGTCTTTTGTTCTTCTTCTGACTTTGTAATGACCTTTTGCATTCTTCATGGCTTATATTTATAATCACCATAGGATCTTGCCCATCATTATCCTGTCTTTTCACCTGAATCCTTCCCATTTCCTTTCCCCCCTTCCTCCACCCATCATTTGTGTTTTCACTCCTACCCATCCTCAGTCCTCCCCTCCTTGAGTTCCCATATTTGTTTTACTAGTTATCATTCTATTTTTACAATAATGGTATTATACAGTATTTGTCCTTATGAGACTGCATAAGTTCACTTAGTATAATGCTCTTCTGCCTCTCCCAAGTTACGTAGAATTTTTCTAATCTTTGTTCCTGAGTGTTGCTTAGTATTTCATGTGTGTGAATGTACCACAATTTCTCAATCTATTCAATTGTGATTGAACATTTTGGTTGTTTCCTTGTTCTTATGATGGTGAATAATGCTGCTATGAACATTGGTTTACAAATCACGTCTCACTGATGTCTGAAAAAGTTCTAATATGAGGACTTCTCTGTGTTAACTCTGTTGTTTGTCTCTTATTTCTTCTGATTCTTATGCATGCCATCTTGAAGATGATTCTTTCCTGTAAAGATTTTTAAATTGTTAAAGCTTTAAATTTTCTTTTAAAAATAGTTTACTGGTTTTGGTGAAAGTTTTTTAAGTTTTTGTTTTCATTCAAATGTTTTTACACAAATTGTTCAGTGACAATGGTTACATTCTTCACAATGCATGAACATTTTCAGTATTTCTCTTCTGGTTATTCCATTTACATTAATTGCATTTCCCTGTCCTCTTTTTTAAAAAATATTCCTTTTTGACACTTGTTATTTGCCACCAAGTCAGAATTTACTGATAAGTGACCTTCCAGGGGGTCTTCAGAGGCAGTAAATTACACAGGAGGAGATTGCCCATCATTTTTTCATGGAGAAAACCATGTGGCTCTGTGATTGCAGCACAGCTTACCACACCTAGGCCATCAGAGCTCCTCTTACCATCTCATTTTTGTTTTATGGTAATTGTTGTCTGTTTAGTCTCATATAAATGACTTTTTAAAGGAGCACAGGTTATATTCTTTGTATTTTCTGAAGCAATATGTTACTTAGCGATAATGATGGCCAGGCAGTCCTCCAGTTTCAACTAGCCCAGCATGTCTATTTCTTTGTTTTTTTGTTTTTGTTTGGTTTTTTTTTTTAAAAAAAAAAAAAAGGAATGTAAGATTCTGTTCTACTTTTCTTCTGTTCCATCAGTCTATTGTGACCCTGATCAGAAGAGTTGGTAGTGGTACCAACCAAGTTCTTGTAGTCTCAGAGTAGGTGACACTTTGGTTCATGTAGACTATTTGTCCCACAGGTTAGTTTCCCCTTTGAATAGTTGAAAGTAATTGTTACCCATGGTGGACAATGTTTGGTGGAGCTCCCCAATTAAAACAAGCTTGGAAGCAGGAGTGGCATCCACTTCCAAAATAGCTTGCCTCCAGAAACCCTACAAACCTGGAGAAATGATGAAAGTTATTCAAGTGTTCAGGTCTTTCATTCATAGGGTTACTATGAGTCATCTATGGCGGCACTTAACAACAACAACAACGAGACAGCTCAGTGGGCCTAGTGGACAGAAAATGATGCTACCAAGCCAAAGGTGGGTGATTTTAATATGCGGCCCTCAGGCCTGGTTTTAACTGTTTTTGGTCAAACATTCTTCTAATTGGTATAGCTCTGGTCTTTACGTTTGCTGTACAGAGCTAACTCGTGGTTGCTGTGATGCTGAACACTGTGACACTGATGTCACAATGCACTAATGATGCAATAATGGTTACTCATGGACAGTGTTTGGTGGAGCTCCCCGATTAAAACAAGCTTGAAAGCAGGAGTGGCATTCACTTCCGAAATAGCTTGCCTCTGTAAACCCTATGAACTTGGAGAAATGATGAAAGTTATACAAGTGTTCAGGTCTTTCATTCATAGGGTCGCTATGAGTTTTCTACGACTCGATGACACTAAACAACAACAACAGTTGAAAGTTATTTTAAATAGATTCATTTTAGGTGGGTGGGTTTTATACAAGCGTGATTATCCCTATGTAGTGAGATGTTTATGTACTTACAGGCATTTTGACTCACCTCTTAATTCATTTTTGTACCTACAAGATGGAGGTGATAACAGTAATTAAATCATATGCTCTTTGTTAAGGATTAAATGATGCTTCTGAGTGCCTGGAGCAGCAATAATTAAACCTAGTGTTTCAGTTCTTTTTCTTGTCAGCATCAGGCTCACCGGCAACTACATATCTTGCCTGTGACATTTGAGGGTGGTAAATCAGAGCAAATCTTGCCAGATCCAATGTAAAGGCAGAAGGCTATTGGGAACATTCAGGTCCTTACTAGGGAAATAATCTACCAGCTGCCACTAAGCAGGATACTTTTCTTTCTTGTGAAAGGTTGGGTGGCTTTTTTATGTACAGGTACCTAACATTTGTTTATTCTCCTCTAAATGTGTAAATCATAGTGTCCCTCAGAAGCAAGGTCTCATATACCTTAAGCATGTTGGAAAAGGACATTGTGCTTGGAAAAGTATAGTCAGTAAAAGAGAGACGACTCAACAAGATAAACAGACACAGTGACTGCAACAATGGGATTAAGCACAGCAGAGATTTGTTCTGCTGTACATAGAGTTGTTCTAAATTAGTGGATTTAGCAGCACCTAACAACTACTAGCTCACAGATGCTGAGAGCTGTTTCCCAGAGGTTGGCACCTAAGGAAGGATCCAGGTAGGAGATGTTTAGTGTTTAAATGGCATTTTATCCTCAGATACACTATGCTTTTAATCTTTCCAATACCTATTCTGTGACAGATGCTCCATCTCACTCACTTCTTGGGTTAACCTGCTTGGTGATGGTCATAATGAGATAGGACTACGGGGACAACAAAGACAGCACATTTCCCCTGTCATGTTGGCAACTGTGGGGCAGTTTGTCTATAAAAATATGTAGTTTCTAGTGCAGGTAGGTCAGACAAACTCCTTGAGAGGCCAGCTCCAAGTATAACTGAAGAGATAGTTCAACATCCTGAAAGAATTTGAGGAACTCATTAATGTTTGCACCTCAGTTTTCTCCATCTGAAAATTAAAGATGACAAGTATTTCGTGAAATTTTTGTGAGGATTAGGAATCAGTTCTTGGGGGGGAGGAATCTGAGTATATATACAACTGGCGCTTAGAATTGTATTTTGCACACAAAAGGTGTTTTGAAAGCACTCAGAAAATAACTGGTACTCAATAAGCACTCAGAGTAGCATTCATCATACAGTTGGCATTCAAGCACACAAGCCATAATTAGGTAGAGTTTCTGCTTAGTAATGCATGATAAAAAACCACCACACCACACTGCTTGATGTGTAATCATTTATATACATACAATAGAGGATACAGGATATCAAAAATAAAATACACTGTGTGCACTTATACCCTCATTTCTTAGAACATCCAAAGAAAGATGAAAGAGGGGGAAAAGACAACAATAACATAAACAAAATAGAGAGGGCTGTTGCTCTAAAGGGGAAACACATGTAGGGAACACTGCCTGGGAAACAAGACCTTTCCCTCAGGAAAAGGAATACAGCAGCACATTGACAACAGTAGCCACAACTAAACCGGGAATAACTGGCAGAGTTATTTGATATGGGTAAGAGAATAGGTTCAAAATTGGGAAGGGTGTACACCAGGGATGTGTCCTATCTCCATACCTTTTCAACCTGTATGCAGAGCAGATAATCTGAGAGGCTGGGCTCTATGAGGAGATGTGTGACGTTAGGATTGGTGGAAGATCTATCAACAATCTGCGTTAT